AATCTATTCTTGGACGTGTTCTATGTTTGTTCCACCTATGGTAATTACTGATCTGTCTTCTGTATTAGTCATTATTTTAGTTTTTTTTAGATTCATTTTTAGTCCTTTTTGAAGAGATGTTTTTTCTAGGTCTGAAATCATTATTCGTAGTTGTTCCATAGTTGTTGCTATCAGGAGTACATCATCGGCGAATCTTAGATAATTTAAATATTTTCCGGTTATACGAATCCCTTTATTGTCCGTCTATAGATTTAAAAATATCTTCCAATGCCAGAGTAAATAGTTTGGGTGAGATTGTATCCCCTTGTCTTACACCTCTACAAATTCTAATTAATGGAGTTTGCAAATCTCTGTCTAGCTGAATTCTCATAGTGGCGTTTTGATATATATATATATATATATGATATATATATATATATATATATATTGTGGATTAACATTCTGTACCGTGAATCTATTCGGCAATTAACTAGCGCTTCTTCCACTGCCCATCGTTCTATGCTGTCAAACGCTTTTTCATAGTCAACAAACGCAAGGTATATTGGAAGGTTGTATTCGTTGCTGCCTGCTCAACTGGTTGGTATACATCAAATTTGTGTTTAGTCTAGTTGTGATCACCTTAGTGAAAGTTTTATAGATTTGTGACAAGAGAGATATTGGTCTATACACTTTTGTCATTTGGCCTCATGGTAGGGACGCGTTAGATCTCTTCCTCTCCCACCTGAATGGAATACATCCTAGTATTCAATTCACGATGGAAGTCGAGTCTGAGCGTCTTTGCCATTCCTTGATGTCCTTATTCAGAAAAACTTACCTCACAGTTTTTCCTATTCGTGTACCGGAAACCCACTCATACAAACCGATATCTTAATGCCCAGTCACATCATCACCCCGCCCAACTCAATTCAGTGGTCAACACTCTAATTTCTCGTTCCATAAGACTTAGCGACATCAATCATAGGTCATCCGCAATCAATTCAATACCGTTCAGGCCATGTCAGTTCAGACCACGTCAGCCCATACCGTTCCCGCGTGTACAGCCAGTACAAAAGCAGCGTCACAGGGTAAGACCCGTTGTCGCTCGACACTGAGGAGTAGGCAGATTGAGACCTCAGTGCCGAGAGACAGTTCTTGTATTTATAATACAGAACACCATACTGGTACGTTTCAAGTGAGGGGAGTAGGCAGATTGAGACCCCGAACTCGAACCGAACCGTATCCCTCTTGATAATGGCTCCAAAATGGGAGCCGAAACGTCGAGCATTAAATTCTCAACGCGGTTCTTCCCGAGAACCTAGTGATTTTCATTTATCTGACCGCGGAAATCTATCCGAACATTTTATTCGCCTCTACGGGGAGGAATTTTTCATTCTCACTAAATCCTTTTCTAATCTTTAACATGCAAATACCGTCGTCTCTGTGATCTTGCTTTTCTTAAATCATGTCGTGACCATCAAGTCATTCCGAAATCTCTTCAAGTTAAACATCACACTAAATCTCCATCTATTTCCAAAATCCTTAGAACAACTGGTTTTTCGCTTCTTAGAAACTCAATTCATTCATATATATCATATATATATATATATATATATATATATATATATATATATATATTATATATATATATATATATATATATATATATATGTATATATATATCATATATATATATATATATATATATATATATATATATATATATGTATATATATCATATATATATATATATATATATATATATATATATATATATATTATATATATATATATATATATATATATATATATATATATATATATAGGGGAAAGGCGTGTACCTTGGGACGGTTTTACCTTGGGACAATCATTATAAAAATGTAACCGTTGTAGCGAGAAATCTGAGAAATTTGTAATATGATGGCAACACTGTCTCCACTTACATCAAACATTCGCGTTTCCGTCAGCAGCCATTTGATGTGACGACAAGTGTAAAACGTTTTGGTGTCCGTGAAGTAAATTTTATCCATCTTTATAAAATAATAGGAAAAGCACGGTAAGAACTATTGGTTGAATTTTTTCGGCGTATTTCGTCTTTATATATTTAATGCTCACTGTAAACTATATTTTATGAGAAAAAACTTTACTTTAAATTGATGAGGTTAGATTTAGTAAAACATGTGCTTGGTTGTACCTTGGGACGTTGTTATGGTTGTACGTAGGGACTTGTCCCAAGGTACAACCAGATATTTTTCTTCACCGTGTTAATGTTAATCTTATTGTTGCAGATGGGAAGAAGTGCTACAGGAAAAAAAAAGGGTGAAACCAGATGCAGAAGCATTAGAAGCAGCTGCCAATGAGATACTGGCGCATAGTCGACCTTTGAGAGAAATAGCTAATCTGTATGGTGTTTCAAAAAGTACTCTTGGTAGGCATATTCAAAAACATAAAGTGTCTATGAAAGCGACTTTCAAGTATGAAGCGAATAATTCAACACGCAAAGTCTTCAGTACTGAACAAGAAAACGAACTGCTCACTTACATTATCAAAGCTGCACAGTGGAACTATGGTGTCACTGTTGAAGAAATGCGAAAACTAGCATATCAGTACGCCAAACTCAACAATGTGAACTACCCTGAATCATGGGATAATAATAAAACTGCTGGTAGACAATGGTACCGATGTTTTAGAACTTCTTATAATAACAAAATATCTCTTCGGAAGCCTGAAGCCACAAGCTTAGGTCGAATGGCCTGTTTCAACAAGCCAAACGTTTTAATATTTTTTGATAAATTGGAAGAAATTTATTCGAGATTAAAGTTAACACCTCAAAATGTGTGGAATCTCGATGAGACCGGCTGCCCTACTGTTCACAAGCCAGTTCGTGTGCTTGGCGATATAAAAGCTAAGCAAATTGGAGCAGCTACTTCTGGCGAGAGGGGTATTAATGTTACTATGATAGCCTGCGTTAGCGCTGCCGGAACATTTATTCCACCAGGTATAATTTTTCCACGTGTTCACTTCAAAGAGCACATGATTAACAACGCACCACCTGGAACTATTGGTATGGCAACTTCTAGTGGTTGGTCCAATGCTGAATTGTTCGTTGAATATCTTCAACATTTCATTTCAGTTGTGAAGCCATCTCCTGAAAATAAAGTGTTGCTTATCCTCGACAACCACGAAAGCCACCTCTCATTGGCTGCTATACACATAGCTAGGGATAATGGAATAGTAATTTTAACCTTTCCTCCGCATACCAGTCACAAACTTCAGCCGTTGGATAGGTCTGTGTTTGGGCCATTTAAAAATTATTTCAATAATGCTAGCAAAGATTGGATGCTGAACCATCCGGGAAAGCCTATATCTATTTACGACATGTCAGAGCTGATAGGAAAAGCATTCCCATTGGCGTTTACCCCAAATAACATTTCGTCAGGTTTCAAAGTAGCAGGTATATGGCCATTTAATGCAAACGTGTTCGGAGACCATGAGTTCTTACCAGCTGAGGTGACCAACAGGCCATATGAACCAAAACAAACTGATATTGAAGAGACAGAACTTATGGAAGTTGATGAAGCCATACCATCAACAAGCAGTGCGCCATGTTCCACTACTGGAATGACCCCTGAACAAATTCGCCCATTTCCGAAGGTTCCACCGCGTAAGACTGGTGGAAGGGGAAGGAGACCGGGAAGATGTATGATTGTCACAGACTCACCGGAGTTGCAGAAAATCAAGGAGCAGAAAATTAAAATATGTAAGCCAGTCCCGAGGAAAAAAGAGGCAGTCAAAAGAGCACTAGTTGTATCTTCTTCTTCGTCTGAAGATGAAGACGAGCTCGAGCTTAAAGACATCTCTGATGGAAGCAGATTTGACTCAAGTTCCGAAGATGAAGATGTTCCTGATTTCTTTCCATCAGACAAAGTTGCACTCAATTTTACCATTGGCAGCTGGGTTGTGGTAAAATTTGAAGTCACTGGAAAAGCTACATCCACTGATGTTTACTATGCTGGTTTGGTTCAAGAAAGCATAAACCAAGAAGTTACTGTGAAGTTTCTCCGAAAACGGAAAGTTTATTTTGTCTTCCCAAATGTTGAAGATATTGCCGTCGTGAAGCATTCAAGCACAGTGAAAGTGTTGCCTGTGCCCAAAATACGGCGAGGATTTCATTCATTCAACATTGCCTTTCCACAAAATATTTCTTTTAAATAATATATAAATACAATAAAATACTTTTATTGGTTTTTTCATCATTAAAAAAGTTATTTCAATATTTGTTTTATTTATATAAATACAGTCAGTTCATGTCCCAATGTACAAACAACACTGTCCCAAGGGTAAACCACAGGTTGAACCTTGGGACTAATATCACTGTACACTTATATGGTAATTACTGATTTACTCGTTGGTTATTATCGATATTTTTAATATCAGTCCAGTGCCTAAATCTTCATTCTTTTACATGGATCAAATACATTTCAGTTTCAGATGAAAGAAAAAAACATAAAAATTTAAAAGTAAATTTTGTCCCAAGGTACACGCTTTTCCCCTATATATATATATATATATATATATATATATATATATATATATATATATATATATATATATAGTAGTTTTGAGTTTCTTTGAACCGTATTATATTTAATATAAAATTAATATTTCTTGGGTTAGGTTCAATAAAGATATGTTACATGTGGAACTAGATTTTATTTTCCATTGCAATTAATCAACGTTTCGGCAGGAAACCCTTGCCTTTGTCAAGATTCAAAACGTAAAACGTGACACAGACATTAACGAACTGACATATGTCAGTTAATAATAATTAATTGCAATGGAAAATAAAATCTAGTTCCACATGTAACATATCTTTATTGAACCTAACCCAAGAAATATTAATTTTATATTATATATATATATATATATATATATATATATATATATATATACTAAACATACCTTAATTTGTGATATAGATAGTTATTGTTGTGCAATGTCCGTTAGTAATTAATATTGAAAGTTTATGTTAAAACAGTTCTTACCGGTTTAATAATATCAGTTCTTTCAAAAAATCCATCTTTTCTTCTATTCCAAAATGTAAGATGGCCTTTTCCATGAGTTATCATTAAATTGTCATCTAAAGGATGAAAAACTGCTCCTGTAAGTTCTTCTTGGAGAGTCTAAAAATATATATATATATATATATATATATATATATATATATATATATATATATATATACACTATAAAAAACTTTTAGTAAATTTTTCGATTTAAATACAGTAATAAATTGTAACTATCATTAAATGAGGTAAAATTACGATAAGAAATCTGAATGTACTACTCAAATGTAATGTTACTGTTAAGCTGAGTAAATTTAATTTGGCCAAAAATAAGTAAATTTACCAACTGGCAACCGCGAAATAGCCTTTCAGTGTGTAAAATTACCAGCGCTAAAATTTCATCCGAATTAAAGTAGTGCCAATAAATTTGTCCATGCCAATGTACTTTTACAAGCTTATTAGTAGGTACTTATTTTGTCACCTTGTGTTGCGATATATGAGAATTATAATGAAAACTGATACAACAATTAATTTCATTCATAAAATTACTTACGGCCACTTTTCCTAAAAGATGACCCCACTGCCACTGCCAAACAGATAAAATACTTTCTCTCCCTGCATCTACAGCTAAGACATAACTTCCACCATTCTAAAAATATACACTTTAAACAAAATTAAATGATTTTATTAAATTTTTACCAATTGCGAAAATGCTACGGCTGAAACTCCAACTTCAAATTCGCCCATACCAAACACATACAACGTTTGTAAAGTTTCCGTACTCCAAATTCTTATATGTGCTTGAGTTTTCCTATTTCTACCTGCTCGTTGTCCTGATGCTACCATTTCCCGAGATGGATGTAGATCCATACTAAAAAAGTATTTTGTGTTAAAAACATATAAAAATTAAGGCAAACTGTTTTTATTTTGTAAACATGTGTAACATGTAAATATGCAAAAAATGTATTGTACCTAAATTAGTTTATGTTACATAATTTCTTATGTTAAAGTATTTTATTACGAGTACAAGAAAGCGAATCGAAATAGAATTATAAGAAAGTCTAAGGATATATTTAATTTTTGAATCTATCGTTATTATGAACTCGGGTGTTAACGCACTCGTATTTAAATATGTTTATATTATTTTTTAAATGTCTTCTAAAGAACTAAAGAAACAAAGTAGACATTAATTTTAAAACACTTAAAAATACATGTATATATAACAGTGGCGGCTGTTGGGGGTAGGCAGGATAGGCCGGGCCTACCCAATAATTTTAAGAGCTTGAAAATTGAAAAAATGTACTAAATCATTCAATACATTAGCGTCCGTTAAAACAACTATGTTATTATATTACCACAGAAAGCATCAAATCGTATTCAGGCATTTTAAATATCATTAATAGGCCCGATCGGAACTGGCCGACCAAGCTCACATAAGATCCCCGTACAAAAAGCGTTTAGAGTTAAGCAGCTATCGGAAAACGATTTATATTGTCGTGTTTATGCTTGCGGTTTAGGCACCAGACGATCGGGCCTACGCAGACCATCGTTGTCAGAACTTGTTTTGTTTTCTAATGAGTGTGTCTTGACACTTCATGGGCATAACAATTGTCAGAAGTAATATTATTGGTCTAGAGAGAATCCCCACTCAATGAGAAAACAACATATACATTATTCTAAAAAGGGTAATCTTTAGACAGGAATTTTTGGATATCATATATCATAGGTCCCTTTTTAATTGATTCATTTTATTGACAATAATTAATTGGTAGGTACTTCTCCAAAATAATGCAATATCCACTTTGACAAACTTATATCGTGATCCAATAAACCACAAGTTTCAGCAAGTGTGATATACATGATGATATGCAAGATGATCAACAAGATGGAGCATCACCCAATTACCAAATCAGTATACGGTAGTGCCTTAACCTAATATTTTCAAATCAGTGGAGACAAAGGTGACGATCGATGGAATAACCAGCACGATTTCCTGATTTGACGTCATTAGACTTCTTGTTATTATGGGGATATATCAAAAATATTGTAAACAAAACTTAACCCCTCCACTTAGTTGACTTAAGAAGACGAATAACGCTTGTGATTAGATCGGTCAAGAGTTACGTTAGAAGAAATTTCTATTTATTTAAGATTAAGATGTTGTTAATATGTTTTCGGTGACCACTTTGAGCATCTACATTCACATTAATGTGTTTTTAATCTTTTACATTTTCAAGAAATTAACACTCTTATTAGTTTTTTAGTGTGTTATAGCAAATTTCTATACTTTGATAATTTTCTTTTTTTTTTAATTCTTTTAATGTTTTTTAAACTTTTTGCAATAAATCTGAAAATACCTATATATCTATATATCTCCGAAATAGTTAATATGTTAATAAATCTGAGAATACCTATATACCTCCGAAATAGTTAATATGACTTTGTATATAAGACATGCCTAAAATATTCTGAGAAATCCAAAAATTGAATTATATATGGGGTATTGTATTTGAAATAGGAAAGCTGGTATTGGCCACTGCTACATGACACTGTATGACTAGATTTTATTGCAAAAAATGCACAACTAAAAATACCAGTCTACATGTTTAAGGATTGTTTTGAACACGCCCCAATTTATTTTATTTGGCTGTTCCACAATATATATTTATACAGGTTTGGGATAAAGTATGAAACTAAGTAAATATGTTTGAAACGAAAAAGATTATAGTCATGAAACTTTGCAAATAAGTACAATAACACATAACGCATCTAATGATATATTATTTGAGGCGTATAGTGTAACTGGTAAAAATTGATTTTGAGAAAAAGACGATTTGTTTAATTGAATTTGACCGTTCTCTGTTTCTACAAGAACTATTAACCAAAGTTTTTAATTTCAACACCTTAAACTAAGTTGTAAATTTCATTTTACAATAATATCACAAAAAACTAAAATTTTCAAAATCTTTTCGGAAAAAAAATTGTAGGCCACTCTTCCACTACCATTATATAAATAAAAAAAGTGCATTTTTGCATAAAACATATTGTTACCGTACTTGTATACAAAAAATTAACAAAAGCTAAAACAATGCCCTTAACTAATTTTTATTTATAAACATAAGTTTAAAAATAACCTCAGGATTATTTATTTTAACCAGTTGACCGATTCACCCTCGACAGTCTTTTTACGATTAGTAATGGTTTTCTCTAATGGAACACTACTCACGAAATCGTTGCTGGTCATTTCTACTACTTTTTTGTTTTTGGCTGTCCTAATCACTCTGGTCCAATCTCCAGGTACATAAATATCATTAAAAGTTTTCTTGTTCTTCTCTATGATTCCAAAGTCACGGTCACAGGCTAAATATGAATGCCCCGACACCAAAAATTTATGGTCAATTTGCTGCACTTTTGATATCTTGTTTTGTATAATGTAATTACAAAATAGAGACATTTTAATGTTCTTATTCTGCCCTCCGCATTGGTCACTATACATAATTAATTTTGACGTGTTAACATAGTTTTTGACATAATGCTGTATACAAGATCCAATCTCTTGAGGTCCTCTAGATGCTATGGCTTCATGCCAAACGTACATGTGGGCCTGATTACTTGACAAGTTGTGGATACCTAAGCAGTATGTCCACAACTGTCTTTTGTAGTAACATACCCCAGTTGAAAGATGAGGTGTAGGTAATGTAGACATGAGATCAAACGCTATTACAGTGACATCGTTTTCAGCTATTTTACCCAATTCCGAATCCAATGCCATCCCAGCACGTGCGCTTTCTGCCTTTCGAAGATGCAATTCTTTTTCTAACTTTAAACTTGCCAAAGTAACTTCAGAAGTTTCTGTTTTTATTTTTTGTTCAAATTCGTCACATCTTCTACAACTGTCAGATACAGGCGCATGAAAAGTTGAATTAATTTTTTTCTGAAAACATCCCTAAAAACAAATTGTGACGCAGGATCATTTGTTTCTTGTTTGTATAAGGAATACATAGTTGACAGATTTAAAGTGGGAGCTAAATAACAAAGATTGGGATTTTTTTTCTAGAATAATGTGACTGATATTTTGGGAACCTCGAAATAAAATGAAAAATATTGTCAAGTTTCTCCTGACTTGTTTTATTATGAGGGTCCTTTTTTCCTCTTTTATTCTTAGAAGGTCACCTTGCTCTTTATTACGCAAAGCACGTGTAAGTCGACCATCTGAAACTCTCAAGACTTTTTTAAAAAACTCCTTGCAAACTGGAATATCTAGCCCTGTTTCTTCTTGTCAAATAATATTGTCTTGTGTATTTTCTGGAGTCACTTTGAGCAGTATTGGTTAATTTTGAAGTAAGTTTGATTTGGCCACATAAGTAAGATGTCTGTAAATCATAATTGGCGAGTTCATACAAATCTTTAAAAATAGTTTCACGCTGTTTGAAGAGTCAATGAGTTTATGGCATTCTTTAAAACAACGACAGTCGGATGCATCAAACTGTTTGGCAGCAACTACATTACCCTTAATGTTTGTATACTCACGTCCACTATTTCGTAATTTTTTTCTTATATTACGTTGCCATTGACTTTTATCTGCAAATTTTCGGCGAGCACCACGTTTATTACTTCTTAGAATTTCTCCAGGATTCGCAATATCGTTAGACTGAAAATTGCTTTGTAAATTCTCATCAGTCACCAATACATTTTAATTTTCACCTAAAACAAATTCTTGCAAACGATTATAATAATAATAAAATACCTGTACTTTTTTCGCTTGATGATTCTTCCATATAAGAAGGATTGTGATACTGGACTGGATTGTGATACTGGAACCTGAATCTGCATATGGCTCATCAATATTAGAGACATCACTGTCATCAAAATTATTAGTGCTTTTGCCTGAAAGAGGTAAGTTACAATAATTTAGGCGTGTATTAATATATATTTTTTAATATCTTAATTCAATATATCTACTTTTAATAATTACCTAAGAAAATGATCTGAATAATATATTTACCTGATGTGGATGGAATATCCATAATACAACTTCCAAATAACTAAAGACAAACAATTAAAGCATACAGGAGCTGTTAAAATCAAATAATAATTTTAAGGTTAATGAGATAGGCCACTAGTGCACACGAGAAACTAAAACACATTGACAAGCATGAACGTTGGGCTACTACTATACAACCGTTTGTCAACAAATCATAATACCTCAAAGTGACTTTGATCATTCCTCTACCCTGCATCCCCCAAAAGACAAACTACAAATTCAAAAAAATTGAAAAAAATTGAGAAGGTATGTGTGACAACTAGAAGTATTTTGACAAATTTTGAACAAACTTCATGTTTTCGTTTTCGAAAAAACTCCCAAAAACTACTTTTTCCAAGTATTAAGCGGGAAAACCAGACATACAATTTTGTTAATTTTCTTACAGCATAAAGATATAACTCTAAGAAATACTTATAAATTTTTTGAAAATGTTTGAATTTACAGTTTTCAAAAGACTGATATTTTTTGTACACACTTATGACAAGTCAAAAGAAAATGTAAAAAAGTATTTTTGAAGTGTGTATATTTTAAGCAATTCCTAGCTGAGCGCTTTCGGCTTTACAAAGCCATCATCAGAGCTATGCTACAATAAAATGTTCTTATAAGTACTAATTGGTGAAGATTATAATTTTTAACTTACGTCAATTTATAAATACCACTACAATGGAGAGATCTCATTTCCTTATATTTCAAAATTATGATTTTTTAGTTGTTGAAATTCTTAAAAAACATATAAAAAACATATAAAAAACCGACACTGGACTTCACAGACACGTTAAAAAATTGAAAAAATTTTTTGTCATGGTACGGGTGTAAGAACCCGACCATTGATTGATGTGAGGAGGTAGACAGAATAGAACTAATGAAATCAAATGTCGGTCCTTTTAAACGATTTTTCAAAAGTGACAGTTGACAAATGTCATATATAGGAAATAGAGATTGTTTTTTAAATTCTTACAAAATTATTTAATAGTTTGGAATTACTAATAGTCATCAAAGACTTTCTAAAAATTAAGTTTTTAAATTAAATTTTATGTGTTCATCACATCATACAGAATGACATTAGTTTGTAAATTCACTCAAGTCATTGCTCAAGGTCAATGTATGTTCAATCTGACAGCCATCCTTAAGAAACAAGGGCTCAAATTGTTCAACAATAATATAAAGAAGAAACATGGTATTAATGTTACATTATCTGATACTTAAGTGTATTGAGAATTGTATCTCTTGATGGAAATTTGTAAGAAATTTGCATAAAAAATTTTTTAAGAATATATTTTCATGTTTCAATTAAGAATAACTGTCAAATGAATTACAAAATGTTGTAAATTTCTAATAAAGTTTAAAATTTGTTTAAAATTTAAAATTATGAAAAAATATAATAAGATTGCATGAGGTCACCCTTCTTCCTCTAAAGTCTCCCATAATAATTTAAAAAGAGGTTTATAATTGCAATTGAGGTTGATTTGTGTGTTTAAGCAACAATCAGGGTTTAGTTTCATTTCTTTGGATATCTCGATAGAGATATCTCAAGAGCTTGAGATATCCAAAGAAATGAAACTAAACCCTGATTGTTGCTTAAACACACAAATCAACCTCAATTGCAATTATAAACCTCTTTTTAAATTATTATGGGAGACTTTAGAGGAAGAAGGGTGACCTCATGCAATCTTATTATATTTTTTCATAATTTTAAATTTTAAACAAATTTTAAACTTTATTAGAAATTTACAACATTTTGTAATTCATTTGACAGTTATTCTTAATTGAAACATGAAAATATATTCTTAAAAAATTTTTTATGCAAATTTCTTACAAATTTCCATCAAGAGATACAATTCTCAATACACTTAAGTATCAGATAATGTAACATTAATACCATGTTTCTTCTTTATATTATTGTTGAACAATTTGAGCCCTTGTTTCTTAAGGATGGCTGTCAGATTGAACATACATTGACCTTGAGCAATGACTTGAGTGAATTTACAAACTAATGTCATTCTGTATGATGTGATGAACACATAAAATTTAATTTAAAAACTTAATTTTTAGAAAGTCTTTGATGACTATTAGTAATTCCAAACTATTAAATAATTTTGTAAGAATTTAAAAAACAATCTCTATTTCCTATATATGACATTTGTCAACTGTCACTTTTGAAAAATCGTTTAAAAGGACCGACATTTGATTTCATTAGTTCTATTCTGTCTACCTCCTCACATCAATCAATGGTCGGGTTCTTACACCCGTACCATGACAAAAAATTTTTTCAATTTTTTAACGTGTCTGTGAAGTCCAGTGTCGGTTTTTTATATGTTTTTTATATGTTTTTAAGAATTTCAACAACTAAAAAATCATAATTTTGAAATATAAGGAAATGAGATCTCTCCATTGTAGTGGTATTTATAAATTGACGTAAGTTAAAAATTATAATCTTCACCAATTAGTACTTATAAGAACATTTTATTGTAGCATAGCTCTGATGATGGCTTTGTAAAGCCGAAAGCGCTCAGCTAGGAATTGCTTAAAATATACACACTTCAAAAATACTTTTTTACATTTTCTTTTGATTTACAGTTTTGTTACAATGGGAAAAATATTATGTTCCGGCTTTTTATACAGGTACCGGTAAGAAACCGAAAAAATTTTAATAACAATTAATAAAACTGTAAAAGTGGAAAATATTTGCAATAAAACGTTGAATATTTTTTCCTAAAGGTATAAAAAATCTCGTTAAACAATAATTATATCTTGAACTGCCGGCATCAAATTGTATATTAGAGAGGTGGCTCCATCTCAAACGTTGGTAGTATTTATCATCGATAGATTGCATTACTTTCGGCCTCGAAACGCTTCAAGCGAATCGTCATACTAGCAGGGTTGCCATATCAATTATTTTGTATAACACTTTGGCAAATTACAAGATTTAATAAGAATGTTATTGGTTTGAATAAATTTTATCTGGCATGCTGAAACAGAATAGTAGATACTGTACTATTCCATCTACAAGTAATATATCTATAAAAAACGTATTTAGTTTTTAAAAACCTATTTAGGCGTTTTTAGTTAATTATTTTAGTATTTATAAACAATAGTATTGCTTGCATAACGTATTAGTGGTAATTTTTATATTAGTATAAGCATTAGTTTTTCTTAAGAAATTCACATTTGTCAACTTGTATTTTAAATCTTGTTTCTCTTAATTTCTCAAAAATCTTAAGATTTACCATACGTTCTTAAAGAGAGGTTGAAAATGTCCCTGTATACTAGATATATTTCGCCTTTAAGTCTTTTTAGTATGTTCTCCATTACCTACTCTCTGGAATGTTGAGGGTGCATTTTTGAGTCCGAATGGCATTCTTAGGTATTCATAGTGGCCATTTTCAACGTTAAATGCAGTTTCTAGATATCTTTCTTCTTTAATTTGATGGAATCCGCTGGCTACAACTGGGTGGAAAAATATTGGCAGCGTCCTAGTTTATCCAGAATGTCTGTTGTATTTGGAATTGGATATAGATCGTCGATGGTTTTCTCGTTCACCTTCCTCTAGTCGACAACTATTCGCCATTTAATCTTTCTTGGGCATCTGGTTTCTTTGGAATGACCCACATTGGGGACGACCAGGGCAATTGACTCGGTTTGATGATTTCTTGATCGATCATCCTTATGGATGTGTAGATACCGATTTGACTTGGTGTAAACCGGAACTTTATCTCTTGTTCGTATATGGTGTTTTATTTGGTTAGTAAATGTTAACTGACTGTCTGAATGATGAAATATGCATGATGCAAACTTCCTGCACTGTCGTCTTCGGTGAGATTCTTCTTTTGTATTAAAATGATCGGTTCTTAGGAAAGGATCGACATCTCTTAGATTTATTGGTTGATTTTTGATGGGATCAGTTATTGCTACTTGAATATATTCATCGGTGTTATTGACTAGCTCGGTCCAGGCAAGTTGATTACATGCGACGGTGAGAGTTTCTCTAAGGATGGCACCTTCGACTTCTTGTCTTGGGATGACGATTTTACCTGATGTTTCTTTTACTGTAAATTTGACTTGTATAATTGTTTAGGGCTCTTGGTGGACTGTATAGAATTGGGCTTTATTTGTGCCATAGTAATTAATAGGAAGAATAGAATGCGCTGTAGTAAGAGTAGCTTGGGTAAAATCGAGATTTGCTTTTAGAAGCCTTAAGATTAAGATCATCAAATGTCTTGTAAACTTTGAAAATATAAAATTTTAAGTTAATATTTGAGTTCAATTCGGGAAAAATTGGAATTTCTACACAATAACCTTCTGAATGATTCTGAAAAAGTGATGTAGCAACTGGTTCATATTTAATATTATTTTTGTGGAATTTATTGGTTATATCAGGATTAAGGAAAGATTTAGTGGCTCTTGTATCAATAAGAAGTTTAAGAGGGGATTTTGAATTTTAATGTAAGGAAGCTCTCTTTTGTCAGCAAAGGAATGCAATTCTACTAAGTTTCTTCATTTTCTTTTTGAAATCTTTGAAAATTTACATCTTCGTCCTCATATTCTTGGATTTTTTATTCATAGTAAGAGTAATCTGGGTATGTGTCTATATACCTTCGTCATAATTGCTCTTGTTGTTCGATATTAAAGAGCTCTTCTACCGTGAATCGGGGCCTGGCTGTTTGTTGAAAGCGGAAGTTTCTTTGAGATTGGGGTCTATTGCCGGTTTGGCGTGTGAATACGCTAATAGGTGTTGGCTTATATGATTGAGATGGATCTGGTTTATGAAAATTGGGTTGGTTAGTTGTAGAATTTTGTGCATATTGAGTGATTTGTTGTTTTTGTTGGAATCTAGGGGGAATCTTGAAATGTCCCTCTTGGACTATTGTTGAATGGCTGTTGTTGCAAAGGCATTTGATTTGGCCTAAAGAATGGCTGTGGCCATTGGGGCTTGGGTACCTCAGGCTGCCATCGTGTAGGAGCGGGTGAGTTATGTGTCGTTTG